TGCCAAAGGAGGACGAAAAAGCGTTACAACTCAGTCGGAAAATATTCACTTGTAAATCACTTGTTCAAGTGGTGGAAATACTTAGATAAATCCCTGTTTCCTCTTTTCCAGCGAGCTACAAAGTTGCGGGTTATTTTCTTGCACTTAGTGTACTTAGGTGAAGAAAAGAATGTTATTTTCTGGGCATTTCAGACTTGAAGGAATGGGTTTTAAAGGGAGTTTTCAGAGTTATTTACTTTTCCTATAAAACAAATGAGATTGCATGATTGTGAAAGGTGTAACATCTAAGTCATACTTGAGCGAAAGTAGTATGACGAAGAGTTGGTTCAGCCTGCAGAGACTGAAATGCCTGAGTGGCTTACTGGGCCCTAGAACAAGTCATCAAGTCACTCTAAGAAGAGCAATTTGAAATGAACAAGGTACCAGTCCAAAGACATTAGAGCCACGCAAGGAGGCCTCTTATAAGTTTTATTTGGCAATAAACCTTTTGTTTTGTGGATGGGAAATGATATGGCCAATTGAGCAGCGAAGATGAATTATGTGTTCCGTTTATTGCAGGCAAATGTGAATGGTTTTTGTGCAGATAATCGCGTCACTGCATTGCAAAGGAAATGGAATGCAACGGATACACAAACTGTGGAACGTACCCTGAAGAGGGTTATACAATCACCACATAGTCGTCTTACAGACTTTCATACCTTCTACTCGAATGTTCCATTGCTGACTGCTTAAATGCACTATCACCGTACCTCCTCTACCCTACTCTGCCCAACCCTACGCTACCATATCGTTTGGTACAGTACCGCACCATGCTGTACTGTACTGTAATCGCGCTGTTGGCATTGACAGAGCGACTTATTTTGAACCACTCGGATAGATTTGAGTGCATGCATTTACTCTCCACGCCAATCCCCTGGGAACAGCATACCCTGGTATGTCTTGTGCCACGTTCTGACTGGAATGGAGTGGAGTGCACTTGATTGGCCTGGAGAGTACTGTGTTAGAAAGGCGCACTTGTCATTTACCTGTTGTGTAAGACGCTGCTATTACTGGTTTTCTTGTTGCAAAGCAGTCACATATTCTTAAGTCCCTAGATAACTTGGATGCCCGTCATCCAACTCCATTTAGCGTGCATCATTTTATGCTTAGGATGTCATGCCGACGCATGACAGGCGAGGTGTACTTTGCTTTTCAGGTCAAGGTCCGATTACTACCAGTTACCTGCACGGTGGATTGGACATCCCTCCCACTATCGTCATATTGGCCCGTCTCTCCATCTACAAATTCTCCGGTAGTACCGGAGTGGGCGTAAGAAGGCTCACGATCCCCTAGACAATGTGCCAGGTGATGAAGACGAGGCGGTTGCACTGTACAGTCCCCAACACACCACAAGCGTGGAGGAGAAGCAGTCTCCCTCCTAGAAGTTATTTCTTGACACCGGTCATCATCATTGTCAACACGTCACCACAAGTCAAGCCCACTTGCCTTCACTGCAGAACGGAGTGGTCGTGACATGGCACCTCATCATCACAACACCGTCCGCCATGGCGTGGCTCACTACTGCCCCATTGACGTGCCAATCGTGTGCAGTCACAGTAGTAATCACTCAGTGATGAGTAGCTATTCACCCAATTTACCTACCATGCCACTGACAAGCCGAGGCAATTCACACAGCGCCATCTGCCCTTGTGGTCACACCTTACTTAATTTCGTACCCCCAACACCACTACAACCACCACTCGACAGTCACAATCACGCAAGCAGTAGAAGTGGCAGTTGTGTGAGTGAGGCGAAGGAGAGGATGCAAAAGTGTTTCAATGTCTGACAATGATCCACATATGCCCTAGTCTCCAAAGAATTACGGAAATATATCAATAAATTTGCGATTCTGTACGTGAATGACTGAGAGTATTGGCACTGGGATGGCGACAAGTGTAGAGGAGTGTTGTGAGAGTACCACAGACCATAGACAGTTGTGCACGGTCTATTTATAGCGTTTCTTATGGTTTCTTCTTATTTATAAGCTTCATTTAATCAAATGTGAATCGAGTATGCCTGTCGCTTTAGCGACCGAGAAGGATAGATGGATCGTGTTGAGGAACACTCTCTAGTCCTGATAATGCTACTGAAGCATTGGATATATATTAGATAGATGTTTGGAAAGCTGTTACTCCGTCTGAGTGGTACCGATGCATATTTTTCACAACGTTATTAACTGACAAGCTAAAAACTCCTGGAAGGGAGATGACCAAATTTTCTTCCTTTAGAATATGTGAGATTAGAAAAACTTTTAAGATTGGCAAATTTTTGCCTTTTGATTAACTATGCAATTCTGCAATGAATGATGACAACATAACACTCATCCCTGAGGTGATTTTCACGCAGGAATGCGGTGGTGAACAGGTGCTACTCCACGGCCTCAGGAGATGATT